GGCGCTCTATACGCCCGCGGGCACCGCCGGCCTGGCCTGCCACGAGCTGCTGGGGGACCGGCCGCGCTGGCAGCGGCTGCTGGGCGATGACAAGTTCCAGTGGCTGGCCGGCCTGGCGCCACCCTCACTCTTCACACGTGCCATGCAGGTGCTCGTCACCGCCATCTCGCCCAGCCGCTTCCCCGAGGCCCTGGACGAGCTGCCGCTGCCGCCCTTCTTGCAGCCCCTGGACCTTACAGGGAAGGGCTAGGCCGCAGGCTGCTCTGGACGCAGGACTTCACGGGACAGGGACAGGCGGATGGTCTCCCAGGACGAAGAACCTCGAGGGACGGCCGGGTCGCAGGGTCTCTCGGGACAGAGCCATGCCCGCAGGTCACCCAGGACTTAAGGTGTAGGGAAAAGGGGCTTTCTGAGTATTGTACCTGGCATTTTACAAACACTGGTCTCTATGCAGCGAGTCCGGCCTCGTGTGTCCAGCGCCGGAGGTGGGGGGGTGCGGGGTGCGGGGGAACGCCAGGAGGCAGGTGCTCTTTGGGCGAGCAGGGCCTAGCCAAACTCTGACTGGTAGGCCTGGCCTGCCTGGGCTAATTAGGGCCCCCAGAGGAAGGGGCAGCGCTGGACTGATTTCCGCGTCAGGTGGGTAAAATCCTGCTAGTCCGGGACCCCTGGGAGAAGGGCTCAGGGTGGCTGTGCCAAAGAGGCCTATGGCTTGACTTAGTGGGTAGACTTAAGGGCTTCTTAGGAATCCCAGACAGCCCAATCCCTCCAGCTCTGAGACCTCTGGCCCCCTTTGTTCCCGCCTCCTGATCCTGCCGCCTGCACCCTCCTCCTAGCCTGGCCAGCATGCCTTTCCCCAACTCCGGTCTGCTGCACCCCCACCCCCACTGGCTGCCTGCCCCTCCTTGGGTGCCCCTGTTGTCCTCCTGTTCCTTTAATTAGTAGGCACCTGCTACTCTGACCCCAGCCATTGGAGCTGTTGCTAACTTCCCCTCCTCCTCTGCCCACCCCCTAGGTGGGGCTCCCGTGTGTCCCCTGGGTGTTAGCCAGTGGCTGGGGTGGTTTACATTGTGCCTGGCCCCATCCTGAAGAGAGGTGGTTTCTGAAGGGAGTTTGTAGAAGTGGAGAAGCGTCTGTAGGCATGTAGACTATTGGGCTCATCAATCCCCCCCCAGCCCCTTCTGGGCTCTCAGATTTCCAAGTGCCTCTCCCACGTGACCTAGCAGTGTGCACTCCCAGGACCTTGAGGTGTTCCACGAAGACGACCCCCCACCCCCACCCCCAGTTGAGGAGCCTTGGGGACCAGGGGCTCCTGCCAGCTGCCTGGGAATCTGGAGGCCTGTGATATTCAACCCCAACCCGCCTGGGTGGGAGAGGCACTGTCCTGCCAGGTACTGAGTGACCAGCTGGTGGAGGGCACTTCCTGCCAGCTGCTCCCGGTATTCCCGAGAAGCATGTGTGGTGATTTGAGGGGTGCTGGGCCAGAGGAGAGGGGTTGAGGCTGGGGCTGGGGCTGTCTGATTCTGGCCCGGCCCTGCACTGCTCTCTCAAGGTGACCTTGGATAAGTTCCTGCCCCGTACCCGACCTAATTTTCTTCATCTGCCTTGAAGGGATTTTTCGATATCCCCCTACCATATCCCAAAGGGATGTGGGATCCCCCTCTGGAAAGGGATGCTGGGGTGAGAACCTAGTGGGATTTGAGTGTCCATGGAACTGCCCCTTACAATGTGCCATCTTGCGGTTCAGGCGTGTACGAGGGAGGGAAGAGGAGAGACCAGCATGGAACTACCCCTTCCAACATGCCGTTTTTCGGTTCAGGCGTGTACGAGGGAGGGAAGAGGAGAGACCAGTTTCTGGGACTCCTGCTGTGGGCTTGGGCTGGTACTCAGAGCCCCTCGAGAATCTCTTCTCCTCCCCAGTCCTCTGGTCAGGGACCCACAGTCATAATGGAGGAGCCCAGGGCCTTGAAGCACCTGGGGAGGAAGGGGACAGGGTAGGTAGTGTACCTGCCTCAGGGGCTCCGTGCTGGCTCAGGACACAGGCACTGCAGGGTTGTTTCTTTCATCACATTCCCCCAGGGAGGGGCGGGGCCCTCAGGGTATCTGGAGGTCTGAGTCACCAGCTGGAGGGAGGGGCCTGGTAACTGGCTTATCAACCCGAGTAGGGCCTCCGGGCCCCACCCCCACCCCAGCTATGCGTATTCAGGGCCCGGTTGACCCAGGCAAGCATCTGGGTGACTTTGACCGGAAAAGCCCTGTTCTCTGGGCCCGAGCTGGTTGGCTCATCCCATCCTCCCTCCATTCCACCTGTTTCTAAGGCTCGCCCTGGCTGCCCCAGGACAGGCTGGGGCCTGCAGCCCTTCTGCAGCCTCACACTGCCACCCTGATTATCCTGTTCCTCTGTACTCTGATATAAATGCACTTCATTTCCTATCCCTGCAGCCCTTCTCTGAGTCCTGCAGGGCCAGGAGCGG